TACCTTTATTTATTTATTTTATTTTCGTTTCCCCAGTCTTACACACAGCACATCAAAGCCTTGGGACTATATCAAGCTCAGCCAACTCTAAACGCACCAGATTTTGAGATTCACAGGAGTTATTTCAAAACCAATTCAACTTGAGCATAAAACAAATACTTGTGTATGAGACCTAGGCTCTGGGCTAAAAGCAATGAAAAAAAAAAGGCCCTTGTGTATATCATATTCCAGCAAAAGAGGAACACAATGAACCAGTATTTCATCTGCTACCATAATCTTAGAAGCGTCCCTTTGGGATCGCAGCCAGAAAAGGGGCGAGAAATGTAAGTAAATTTTAAGTTCTTTGGCTTTATAGTAATGCAAAGAAAAAAAAGGAAATACATTTTGGAAGATTTGTTGTTTGGTAGTAGAACAATTATCCTAAAACAGTAAACTAAATATGCATTTGGAAGCAAAGGTTCTTACTGGGGATATAGAATCTGGGAGAGGGAAAAGGAAAGACCCTATGACTGATTGAAATTGGAGGAATGATTGAAAAACATTTAAAATGAAAACAATTTGGGGGTTGAGGAGACAGCTCGGCCGTCTAACCGCCTGCCTGGCAAGCTCAAGGACCCGAGTTCAATCTCCAGTACCGCGTGCTGTGCCAATCCTAGCGCTGGGGAGGCTGACACAGGAGGATCACATGTCCAAGCTGCTTAGCGAGACCCTGTACCAAAGATTTTTAAAATAACAATTTTATTATTTTCTAGCTCTAAACTCTGAAAGGAGCCAGAAACAACCTATTAGAATGTACACACCTAGTACCTAACTACTGAGGTTTTGTTTTGTTTTTAAGAGGCTGGCTCTGAACTTTCCGAGTAGCTCAGGCTGGCCTCAAACCCGCATTGATGCTCCTGCCTCAGCCTCTTGAGTGCTGGGATTACAAGTGTGTCCCACAATGCTGAGGTGGATATTTTTTAAGTAACAGTCTCCAACAAAAGAAACCAAGGTCTTTGGGAAAAATGGGCCAATGGGCTGCAGGTTATGCACGCCTAAAATGTACCAATACAGGGTCAGGGAGAACGCAGTAGCAGAGTGCCTGCTTGGCAACCAGAAGGGCTTGAGTTTGATACCAATAAGTAAATAAACAAACAATAAACAAAAGTACCAATAAAACTTTAAATTTTAAGAAGTTGAATGAGGCATTTTTTTTTTTTTTCTTTTTGTACTTAGCGCGGGGTCTACAGGGTCTCACCACACAGATCGGATTTGTAGTGATTCTCCTGTGTTTGAGTTGGGATTACAGGTGCACACCACCACACCAAGTCTCAATCCCTGTCTCAGGGGCCGGGGAGATGGCTCAGTGGAATAAGTGCTTCCCTGGCACAAGGGCCTGAGTTCAATCCCTGGCTCATAAAAAAAAAAAAAAAAAAAATCCTGTCTCAGTGCGCTCCGGGGGAAGGGCTGACACAGCAGGCCAAGAAAGGACCCTCTGACCCCTGCATCTGCCTAAGCAGGCACTTTAATCTGCTGAGCTCTGTGAGGAAAGTTTTAATCAAAGAGAACAGGAGCAAGGTTTAAGGGTTTCCATAAATCAAAATCAGAGACAAACAATAAGACAAGGGTCAAGAGCGAGCTTTTACTGCTCCAAATGTTCTATTTACCTAGATGGTGACTACCTTGGTATATTGGTTAAAAAAAAAAAAAAAAACACACACACACACTCATCAAAACTGAATCCTGGGCCGGATAGATGGCTCAGGAGAATAAGTGCTTCCCTGGCAAGTGCACAAGGGACTGAGTTCAATTCCCGGTTCCACCAAAAAA